CATTTTCTAACTGTAAACTGAGAGTCACTTCTTTGTACATGGCATAGCCCGCACTGTACGACTCTTCTTTTCTTGAAAAGAACTGGTCACCACTCCTGCCTAATGTCTTTCTAGGTGCCTGTAGAGACCTGTGTGAACATTTTATGACCTTTGTTGTTGTTGTGTACCATCAAGTTGGAACTCCTTGTTACTTTTCTCTAGTTGAACCATTAATATGGAACTTTGTGGTGCAACCATATGTTAATGGTCCTCAGGCTTTTCTGTCATATTAGTGGATAATACTCAAGCATTAACTCCTCCATGTCCTCCCTATCGTCTACGTATATTTGACCGTTTGGAAAAGAATAAGTCTTTGTTACAAAAAAAGTTGTACTTCTGTCCCCAGCATCCCATCTGGCAGAAATCACATGTGGGTGTGGCCATCTGTATATATCCCTCCTCTCCTGCTTTCGCAGTGTTTAGCCGAATCTCATGTTTGGTGAGGAGAGTTGGGATTTTCCTTATGGTGTTTCCCACAGTGTGGATGTATATTTGTGCTCAGAACACAACTGGAGGGAATCAGATGGACCTTTTCCTGCCTGGTCAAGCTTGACGTCTTCTATTTTGCCTTCAGCATTGCTGCCCAGTTCATGGGCACCCCACCTTCCCAAGGATAGACTGTGAGGTTATCAATGCCAATCCTTAGAGGAGAAGCCACTTGAAGGAATCCAGACTCTTCCCTCCGCTTTGCCAACTCACCATTGTTTCCTCTTGATTGTCTGTTTCAGATCTCAAGTGCCTTGTAAGCATGTGCAGTCCAGGCTGCTGAGGGACGAGCTGTGTTCCATCTTGTGTTTCTGTAAACCCGAAGGGAGGATTTGAGCCCATGTCAAGGGAGTGTGGACCAGACATCATTCATCTGCTTATAGAGTATCCTGTGTTCTCCCACTCAGATGCTTGTCCTGAAGGGATTTCTTTGTATTAACAAACACGGTTCCCTATGAACTCCAGAAGACGGAGCAAAGAAATGGTGAGTCCTAGAGAGTCAGGTCTTTCAACCTTGAGTTGGTGCCATTGGATAGAAATTCTTGGGAACCCCCGTCATTCTGGAGGACTGTTGTTTCCTGACAGGAGTGATGGTGGAACAGGATGCTCCTCGAAAGCCCTAGGAGGCACCAAACTCCGTGCTCCCTTAATACCCAGCCCTTTCCCTGTCCACACTCAGGATCGGAATGCCTAAGATCATTGTTTTTGTGTGCCCACAGGAACCAAGAGCTGTTATGCCCAACTGGGGCCTTGGTTCTCCAGGTTTATTGACAGAATCTCCTGATCAGACCCTTGAAAATGACCTGACAGTCTTTTCTGTGATTTTCACACCCTCTATTTTTTTGCTGGGCTTTCTTCATTTCCCAGTGAGTTATTTCTTATATTTTATCTTCATGTGTGTGGAAAGAATAAACTCCCATGTTAGTTCTTTCCCCTTCTACAGATGCCACTTGTTCTTGTGAGTTGCCGTTGACTCTGGGAAGACTCCAGGCAACCCTGTAAACAACAGATGTGAACCCTGTCCTGTCCTGATAGAGTTAGTGTTTCATCCCTGTCATTTTTGTCTATTCTTTGTTCTCTTCATTGGGAGCTATGGAGGAAGAGTTTCTAAATTGCAAGCACCTTTCTGGTTATTCTGCAGGTCAGTGAGGGAATGATGGACAGGAATGATGGACATTCTTTGCTGGTGGTCTTTGCAGCCTCCTCGTTCCCGCACTTTGGATTGTTCCTGTTTGGTGTCAGTTAGTCAGTGAGTGTTGAATTGTCGCATTAGGCTCTAAAAGTCAGGTTCACTTTGGCCATGGAAGGTAAATATCTGGAATTGATAGCTTGATATAATTTGTACTCTGACTTTCTCAGCCATTTGGTATATTTCTGTTGAGAGGTAGTTTTCCCCGACTTCCTTGCGGTCTTGTTAATCACCATTTCCACCTTCTCCCGAGACTGATGTGGACACCACTTCCTACATTAATCATCTAAATCATCCTGGGTATATCAAGTGCTGTGGGGATTTGCTTGATATTCTTTTTTTATCAGTTGTTGGCCAAATGCCGTGTTTTGGGAGCTCTGATGTTTAGGATAAAAAAGAGTTAGTTACACATGTAATTCAAAAGCTAGCCCTCTCCAAAATCAATCTCCATGATAGTCTATGTGTTTCCTACTGCCACAGGGGCCCTTTAGAGTAGTGAGAGAAGATCTTCACCCTGAAACCCACAGCGTCCCTTTTCAGCAGGAAGTAGCTAAGAGAATACGCCATCCCCTTTTCCTTATGACTCAGGGTGAAGTCTCTCTCAGGGAGGAGTGATAGGGAATGGCAAAGGACACACTGACAAAGAAGATTAATCAGAACTGGCTTTGACAAGCACTGTGGCATTTGGACAAGAACAAACTGGGAGGAGGGTAGAGAGAATAGTGCAACAATGAATGAGTGGAAGCCCAAAATCTCTGTAAATGTTTATGAAAATTAATAAAATATAATTATAGGGAAAAAAAAAGCTAGCCCTCTGGCTGTTCACTTCCAGTAGTGTCAGGAAAATCCAGATTGAGTAGGAATCTTAAGTAAGTAGGGAGAGGCCCCTATCTCTGATGTTTATATAAACTGCTGTTGGTCAGGGCCACGTTCTGTTTTCAGTAATGTCATTGACTGGGAGATGTGGAATATGAGTTCAAGAACAAAAGCCTCCTGCTTAGTCTTGTTGTTTGTGAAAGGAGCTTACTGGGTTCTCTCTGGAGTGTTGTGCATAACTCTATTCCAGGTTATTCTCAAGAAGTTCATCATTTGCATTTAGCCCTGGGTTTATCAAGCATCAGACCTTGACCATTCAGGCCAATTATATTCACAAATAATCTTTAGCCTATCCCTGTGTATTTGTGCGGAGTCAGAGCTGTGGATTCCAAACTGCCACATAGCAGACCTTCCAGCTGGCTTTCACAGACAGAAAATCACAAGGGAGGAGATGAGTCATCTTTCTCCTGTGAATCAAGTGCTGGATTGAGAACATCTGCCTTTGTGTCAGCATTGTAACTCTCTTACGACACCACAGAGTTCCCTAAGTTTTATGCTGCTGTCGTTCGGTGCTGTCATGTCAAGCACGACTCCTAGCAACCCTGTGAACAAAAGATCCAAACCTTGTTCTATCCTGCGTCCTCCTCTCACTTTATGTTACACGAGAACACACTGTAGCAGTCAGTGTCCAGTCCACCTGGTTGAGGGTCTTCCTCTCCTTTGCCAACCCTCCACCCTTCCCAACATCATATCCTTCTCCAAGGAATAACATTTCCTAGCAATATGCACAAAAGATGTGAATCATTCTTGCCCCCAGAGACCACTGTTGCTGCACCCTCTCTAAGCACATCTCTTTCTTTTCCTAGCTATCCATTTAATGGTCAGTGCTCGTCTAGTCACATGATACTAAATACAGTGTTGTTGTATACCATATGGAACTGACCCATAGCTGACCCTCCTGCAGGTTCTCAGAGTCTGTTAACTGCATGGAAGGATAGTGTCCATCCCTCTCCTGCAGAGCAGCTGGTTGCCTCGAACAACATTCCTTCAGGTTTGCAGCACAGCTTCTTACCTCGAGGCCACCAGAACGCCTGCCGTTGTTACAGAGTATCATAACCCTAGGTATCTGCACTAAATCTATATGTATAAAACTTGGATCCCATGTAAAATTGCAAGATTGTCTTCTGGCTGGTTTTACTATCTTCTACAACGTCCACTAAAATGCGTGACTGATAAGCTATCCGTTTTTTTACTTATTGGAGGAGCAATTGACTAGGAAGGACTGAATTTTTTTCCTTAAAAAAAGGAATTTGTGTTTCCATATGTTGCTGTCATTGTGGACGAATGAAACACAGTAAAACTAAGAATGAGGGGGAGAAGAGAGTGAAGGCCGGGGGCAAACCTCTCAAACACTGCAGCCCCAAGCTTAGGGTCTCTCCTGCCTTTATTTATTTTTTTTTTATTTTTTTTTTTCTCCTGCCTTTATTGAAAATTCCCAGGAGATAACACACAGGGAAAATTCTTTACTAATTGGCTATGATTTTCTCTGCTGACATCCTTATGCTTAGCTCAGGAATGATGGGTTTACAAACACAAAATGAGAGTAGCAGGGGCGCCACCAGTTCTGCCTGAAGTACCTGTCTCCTAAGATCCATCTCTGGAGAAATACCACCTAATTCTTTGTGATCTGTTACAAGAGGAATTCCTGCTTGAATCTGTGCCTCCTTCAATTCCTGTTTAAGCATTTGGTTTAACATTTGGTTTCTCACAATATGCTTTTGTTGACACTGCATACTTCCCTTTCTGCAGAGTTTCAACGATGGTAGGTTATCACTCTGCTTTCAGTCTGTCTGCTCTATTTTTTTCATTGTTCTTAAAGATCTTTTCAAAAGAAGTTGAAATTGACTATTCCCAAGAGACTTACCTTCCAGATTCAACAGTTCTCTATTTTGCATTAATTTTTCTCCAGGACACAGAATTTGTGTACAGATATTCACAGTGAAATGATGGGCAGGTTCATTGACTATGTAGTAAATCTCTGATTAAGTACAAGCCAGGATTTCCTCCATAAGGAAATGAAAGTCATAAGATCCAAAACAAGACTGATATCTGATACCCTGAGTAAATCTAGGAAGAAAATAGAACTTTTCATTTGTCTGTATGATTTCTTAGTTTTCTACGTATGTGAGGCTCCTTTTTTGTTCTTGCCCACATTATGAGACACGGTACCAATCTGATCCAGATAACGCTGTGTGTTTCAGGCACCACTGTTGCTTGGTGATGTGGTCATCTTCTTCACCCAGGAAGAGTGGTCCTTTTTGAATGTTGCTCAGAAGAAACTCTACAGGGAGGTGATGATGGAAATCTTGGAAAACCTGGACTTCATAGGTACAATTAAGATTTGATATGCTTGCAAATCCTTGGATGAGTAGAAAATAAATTCATGCACATTACTGTTGAACTTTGGCAGAAGAATTGAAAGAGAAGGTTTAATGAAGCAGGCATGGACACCTGGCTTTTAGCGCTCAGGAAAATGACTTTTTCATGGAAGCCTTTGTGTCTGAGAGCACCTTTTCTCTTCTGTGGTTCAGATGATTTAGATATGTAACTATCCTAAATGTACACTCGAACTTTTATGGGTCAGAATTTAAGGCCTATTCTTTATGGCCATGGGGTGTAATTTATTACTCCTGTGTTGTTATTGTTGTTGTTCTTGTTGTGTTGCTGTTCTTGTTTTGGTGTTCTTTGGAATTGGATCTGACTGGCACAGGATACTGCCCCTCCTTCTCCAGTGAAGCATCTGGTGGATTCAAACCACATGTCTTTGGGTTTCCCGCTTCTTGCCAGTATTCCACCTGCGTTCTTGAGGGCTCCTGTGTTGAGAAGCTCTATGAAATCATTATTATGCTATGGATCTTTTGCATGTTAAGAAATAGGCAATTTCATGAACCAGGTAGAAAAAAGTGCCTTTTTTTGCTGGATGTTACAGCTTAACAGATCACCGGACACTCTTGTCTGCATCAGCAGGCCTGTCCTGGAGCCATTTTTCTATTTTTCCTGTGATGTGCGTCTTGTGTCATGTTATATTACTCTGTGATATTGTATGTGTACTGTGCATTGTAATATGTGAACTCTTCTGTGTAATGTTGTGTGCTGTGTGATTCTTCTTTGTAAATATCCACCCAGAGGAAACTCATTTATATCATCATGCCTTTGATTTGTTTCAGAAGGGATTCGTAGTGAAGAGTTTGCCATCCAATGTCAAAGTGCTGAAACTCAGAAATATGCCCACGTGCTTGTGGGTTCAGAGCAGCCAAATATTCTTTACTTTACGTGTTGTCAAAATTATTTTTGTTATATAAGAGACCTGGAACACATGAATGACAGAGAAGCATTATCCCCTAAAAGTACTCAATTGACGTTCTTTGAGACTACCCACCCTTGGTCTTCCATATTACGGAAAATGGTAAAACTGTGTGGCAAAGAAAATCTACATAAACTCAAAGAGAACTATTGGAGGTGAGTATAAGGAAAATGAAAAAACAAATATCAAAACACGACAAATACTCATGAGAAACATTGTGACTTTGGAAACAGGTATCAGAAAGTGTAATTAGATTTATAAATGCAGTTCTGGGAATTATATTTTTGCCAAATGGAGTCATGTGAAACTCTGAGAAGTTAAACTC